ATATCCCCCCGCCTCTCATACTGGTTCCCGATACCCCACCAGTACCACTATATAGCAGTCCTATAATACCCCGCCCCTCATATGGGTTCCCGATCCCCCACCAGTACCAGTCCTATAATCCCCCGCCCCTCATATGGGTTCCCGATCCCCCACCAGTACCAGTCCTATAATCCCCCGCCCCTCATATGGGTTCCCGATCCCCCACCAGTACCAGTCCTATAATCCCCCGCCCCTCATATGGGTTCCCGATCCCCCACCAGTACCAGTCCTATAATCCCCCGCCCCTCATATGGGTTCCCGATCCCCCACCAGTACCAGTCCTATAATCCCCCGCCCCTCATATGGGTTCCCGATCCCCCACCAGTACCAGTCCTATAATCCCCCGCCCCTCATATGGGTTCCCGATCCCCCACCAGTACCAGTCCTATAATCCCCCGCCCCTCATATGGGTTCCCGATCCCCCACCAGTACCAGTCCTATAATCCCCCGCCCCTCATATGGGTTCCCGATCCCCCACCAGTACCAGTCCTATAATCCCCCGCCCCTCATATGGGTTCCCGATCCCCCACCAGTACCAGTCCTATAATCCCCCGCCCCTCATATGGGTTCCCGATCCCCCACCAGTACCAGTCCTATAATCCCCCGCCCCTCATATGGGTTCCCGATACCCCACCAGTACCAGTACATAGCAGTCCTATAATACCCCGCCCCTCATATCTGTTCCCGATACCGCACCAGTACCGGTACATAGCAGTCCTATAATGCCCCGCCCCCTCATACGGGTTCCCGATACCCCACCAGTACCAGTACCAGTCCTATAATGCCCCGCCCCTCATATGGGCTCCCGATACCCCACCAGTACCAGTCCTATAATACCCCGCCCCTCATACGGGCTCCCGATACCCCACCAGTACCGGTACATAGCAGTCACTGGGCCGGGACTCACCTGTACGCCATGACGAAGGCCGCCAGCCTCTTGTAGAGGTTCAGCGTGTGTGTCTCGGGACGGAAGGTCTCCGGATGTCTCCTGATTAACGGGAGGACGATCGTCTTATATTCCTCCTCAATGTTCTCCAGATCCTTCCTCACCGCGTCCGGGACCCCGGTGCCCCCCAGGAGCTCCGCCCTCTCCTCCTCCGACCTGCCGAGGAAACTCCCATCAGACACAACTCTGCCCGGCATGATCATGTGACACCCAACAAAGAGGACCTGTCTCCCCCGGAATGTTCCGCTCAGGGTCTCCATGATCATGTGACACCCAACAAAGAGGACCCGTCACCCCCGGAATGTTCCGCTCAGGGCCTCCATGATCATGTGACACCCAACAAAGAGGACTCGTCACCCCCGGAATGTTCCGCTCAGGGTCTCCATGATCATGTGACACCCAACAAAGAGGACCCGTCACCCCCGGAATGTTCCGCTCAGGGCCTCCATGATCATGTGACACCCAACAAAGAGGACTCGTCACCCCCGGAATGTTCCGCTCAGGGTCTCCATGATCATGTGACACCCAACAAAGAGGACCCGTCACCCCCAGAATGTTCCGCAGAAAAACACAGAAAAGACACAAGAAAGTTCTCACCAAAACATGGGAAGGTCCGGAGGGACCAGCTGGGGCCACAGCCCAAAGTACGGGGCCCATGGAGAGTTGTGGTCCATCGCTTCATACATGAGGGAGACGAGGAGGGCGACCCAGCCTGATGTGCTGTCCAGATTCTGCCGCTCTGGGACAGGAAACACAAAAGTCGTGTCACCGGATGGGGACGGCAGGAAGCCCGTGTACCGGGACTACAACACTCAGAAAATACCGCCAGCTGGATGGGCGTGGCTTTGTCTGCAGTGGGTGGGGCTTGGGTTTACATGGTCCTGGTGGTGTACTGGAAGAGAATGTCCATACTACACTCAGGAGCCTCCGATGGAAGCGGCCAGTAAAGGGGAACTCCGCTCGCCTCACCTTGCTCCAGCAGATCCTGGATTCGGGTCGTGTGCTGTGACAGAAGAGCCGGTCGGGGGATGGTGAACACCACTTCTCCCACCGGCAGATCCTGGCGGGTCATCATCCCGTACTGCGCCACCGTCCCCTCCGTGCTGATGTACACCTGGGGACACATTTCCATCTATTAGAGGAGGAGCGCAGTGGGCGGAGCCAACTCATCATCCTACCAGACACTCACCTTTGGGTTCAGGTGGATTCCAGAGGCTGTACACCAATCCAGGAAGGCGGAGACTGGATCATCGCGGGCGGGGACTCTCTCATGGTGGGTGGAGTCTGGCTCATCGTGGGTGGGGACTGCCTGGTCTTCCTCCTGGAGCTAAGACAACATATTTACATGAAATACACTTCCGGCCTCCATCTGCCTGCCCGCAACCCCCCACAGCATAGGGGTTCAGGCCGGGACCCCCTCCCCCATCTATGTATAGAAGTAATATTAATACTCGGCACCTTCCGCCTCTTCCCCTCCATCTGAGGACACGTGCTTCCGGATCACTTCCGTGTTAGGTCCCGCCCACCAAGAGAGCTTCGTCCATTCGATGAAAAGCGGGATGTGACGTCACATTCACGAGCC